AGTGGAGTGATCTGCCCTTGGATCTCAATTTATTTCGAACTTCTTTGTAACACCTATTGTCAAATCTGTTACCAAATCATGCATTGTCAAATCTGATTACCAAATCATGCATTGTCAACATTCTAAAAGATGGATATAATAAAAAACAAACTTTGTTGAAGTGTATTTTCTCCACTGAAGTAAACAGTAGTTATGTGTGTTAATTATTTTTTTTTCTTAAAAAAAAGGGGGGTAGTCCCACTGTCATATATTGATAATGAAATAAGGAAATTCACTACTTAGACCTGTGTGGAAAGAAAAATCCAAGATTTTGCACTTGTTTCTTATTTATTGTGTGCATCTGAACAGAGACATATAATTGTTCATGCATCTCGAGACCATGACTTTGTTGAAATGCGTTGTTTATCATTATTGGACTAGTCCATTTATTGAATAAACCAACCGCGGGATCGGGAAACAAATTAGAAAAATCATTTCTTTTTTAGTGTTGCGTGTCCGCATACTGAAATATTATACGATGTGCTGTTTAAAAGAATATGAGATAAAACAATTATTTGTAGACAGAATTTCTGTAACATTAGAAGGAGGTTAAAAGGATAGACTCTAATTCCATGGAAGTTAAAACACCCTTTCATACAATAGAACAAGCCAAGGAAAAGGGCGAAGAAAGCAGTGACATTTGGCGCGAAAAGAGCGATTCACCCCTTTCGTAGAAAAAAAATGGACTGATCCAGTAGTATAGAAATGCAGAAAAAAGGATATACGGACATGTTGAAACGGTGAATCACATGGAATAATCGTTGCATGCAAAAAGATTAAAGGAAGTAAACACTGCAGTATTTTGCATCAGTAATATCATTCTTTTTTTCTGAAAACTGTTTCTTTTAAAATGTAGGTTAAAGAATTCCAATGTAAATCAGCTTGCTCAAAATCTAGGTCTGTAGGTTCGGATTTTGCAAGTATCAATCCTTATACAGCCTGACGCCAGGCAATAAATGTGCATAAAGAAATAAACGATGTTGATGGCTTTTAAGATTAATTTAATGTTATTGTTAAAGAAAGAAATAATAATGTTATTCAGTGATGCATTTGATTTTATCAAGCTCAGCTATGCATATTTATCAATCTACTTTCAATTAGGATACGTGAAAACAAAAGAACCATACTATAGCCTTCATAAAAAGTGATTGTACAAATCTCATTACTGGTGAGCATTGGCTCACAGATTCTTGTTTTGCTCATCGTGCTTTTCTCTCTCCATTTAATGTCTTGCATTGTTCTCTACTATTTTTCTTGTTTGGTTTTCTCCATTTATTGTTTTGATTTGGTTCTCCTACTATTTGTCTTCATAAGGATTTCTAACCACTTATATCACTCTCTTGACTGTTTGACTTTCTATAGCTTCCTTAACTGTTTTTTTTCTTGCGGCTTTCTCCACTATTTGTCCGCTTTGCCCTCTCCCCATTACTTGTGTAACATTGCTTTCATCACTCTGGAGTTGTCTTCTAATGAATCTCCCCGCCATATAAGTACATGTTTCACTCTTTTGACTATTTGCCTTGCTATACCGTGATGGCATTCTCCATTTTCTGTTTTGCTGTGGCTCTTTAAATTTCCATTCTTCGTCATGTCGTGCCTTTTTCCTCTTTCCTTTATTTCTCTTTCCATAACTCTCTTCACTATTAACCTTGCTTTGGCTATTTATCCCAAATCATCTAAGTTAATCAATGTATAATGAAGGAATTTTGAACGATTTTAAATAATTTTAAACCAGTTAAAATTAAAACGCATTGCCAGACATCGATAAAAGGGAAATAAACCGAATTCACAAGACTGATAACAAATCTCTCAATTACATATGAGACGGAAGAAGTATTATGCAAATTATGCAAAAGAAGTACGCAGGATATCGTATTACACTTCATCTTAGACTGTCCGAATCTGTGCAAAAGCCGCGAACATCTCATGACCCTGATCGTTAACTGTTTACCAGTGAACACATATGTCGATCTCACACACTTGCCCAAAACTACTATGGTAAATATTCTTCTAGGGTCTAGAAAGGATGGAACTATCCCAGAAGAGGAATGGGCCACCTTTATATTGTCGGTATCCTCCGGCATCACAGTAATGTTGAAGGACATGAAAACTCTTTTATAGTTAAAGATAAAAACTTTATCGAGTTACATTGTAAAAAAAAAAAGAAGCTCATGAACTCTTTTGTTCAATGCACTTGTACATATATTATTAATTAATGCACTGTTGACGTTAAATGTTTCTTAATATGATATGACCAATCTCTATACTATTGAGGAAATAAAAAATGTCTGTCTGTCTGTCTGATAACATGTAAAAAGACATTTTTTTGCTCGTTAACAGTTTTTCTAAAGTTATCTGCCGTTGATGAAAATATTTATCAAAATTTATGTGGTAAATTATTTTTTTTTTTATTAAATAGTTTAATAAAGAGGGAGTTTATACATATTTTCACTATATATGAATAGATTTGTTTGAAATTCAAATTACTTTTTACAATATCTGACAAAAACGTGCAATGCCCATAGACTTGAATGTAAAATTCAAGGTGCAATTAATTGGATAGTAAATTCCTTTGGTGGAGTATTTTTATTTGATAACATCTTCAAAATGCTACTATGATTAAAACTATCAGATAAATCATTTATTATTTAGGTTAAAAATATGGTAATTGTACATTGAATACCTTAATTCAATTAACGATTTTTTTTATGAATGAATATTAATGATATCTTTTGTTATTAATATTACTTCATACACCGTAATGACACATACTAATCATTGGGGTTGTTGGAAAATATAAGATGGTAGCATTTTTAAAACGATGTTTAAAAAATGAAGTAAGTAATGAGACACTCACCTAATTTTGCCAGTGTTTCTAAAAGGTAAATTATGTACATGTACACTAATGTTGTTAAATATTAAGTTTCGCAGGTACACTTTTTAGCTAAACATTGAAAAGTACATTAAATTTGTTGGTTTTTTTAAAAATGAAAAGCTCTTTGTTTTTTTTTAAATGAAAAGCTCTTTGTTTCTTGATCTGATGATGTGATATAAAACTAAGCCAAAGCTACAGGGAGTAAATTTTAATCAAATCAAAGAGGATTCTCGAAAATACTTAAAATATATCATATCTTCATTTCGTCACCTAACGTTAGCGTCCTATTTTTAATTTACCTCAACATAGATGGTAGAGCTTTTGTAGTATTGTTTGCATCAGCGTTCCAGGAAAAAATATTATAGGGCAGATTTCTTTTTGATTGATTGATTGATTGTTTATTGTTTTACGTCCTTCTAGAGAATTTTTCACTCATATGGAAACGCTACCACTTGCCGGTGGAGAGCTGCTAATTTTGTCCTATACTCGGCACTCAGGGCCGTCTGCGACACGGGACCTCGGTTTATACGGTCTCATCCGAAGGCCGCGTTTAATCCTATGTTAATCAAAGGTGTCTGATCAAATGTGTTTTATTGTTGATATAAATGTTTCCATGACTGCATTCGTAGCCAAGTTTTATTTTCTCTTAGAAAAATGGTAGATGTAGTTTCTTGAATTGTTAACTACGCTGTCAAACCTTCTTTCTAACATAATGTATATATTATCCAATCAATTCTACAAAATTTTTAATTTTTTAAAGACTTGTTTAAGAAAGAGACAACTTGATTTTTAGAATTTATATATGATTACAGAGAAAGAAGAATAATCGCTTCCCACATGTAAAAAACATTTTCGGCTGACGTGATGACGTACGCGATCCTGCTCCGAGTCGGTAGCAATCAGCAATCCTCGGCTGACCCCGCTACGCTCCATTCATTAGTGTGCGACGTACGAGCCATCCAAGGAGATCCGAGTGGGTCGGTAGATAAATGTTTGTTTTTATTTGCACCGGAACTTGTCTAATTATCCTATAAATTAGAAATTTGACACATTTATCTTATTCGTTCTCCGTAAAATAATTCATGAATTTCTCTCTGTCCTTTAAAAAGTACAGTACAAGTAAATGTCTCTCAATTTCCGAACAACCCTCGTACATGTATGGGTATTACGTATGTTATATTTTACATTTCCATCCTACCATTTAAGAGTTTTCCTTAACTTCGAAAAAAAAAAAAATATTTAACTTTTCGAAACATTGAAAAAAAATTAACTGGAAAAAATTTCATTTACGATGAGATTTGTTTTGTTTCTGACAAATTTATTCATTACGTTAACTACATTAACTATACATAACACTTCGTAATTGTCTTTACACTAATTCTGCTATTCAAATAAAGCAAAGCAGGAAAAGTCAATGAATTGATTATTTCTCCTTGGAGGTATAAGATTAATTTCATTCAATCTAGCATTTCATATATATATATATATAGAAAAATCGGGGAAAAGCAATTATTTTTCATTTTTAATTAAACAGACAGATATCTTCTACATGTAATGACGAAGAGAACTTAGTCCCTCGACAATAAAGTGGGTCATACAGTTTGAAAAAATGTCCTGTAATGGAACACTATTTCTAATCATTCTAACGATAAAAACATCATACATGACTTCGTGATTAAATGATTTTATTTCATTACCTGAATAATTTTAAAGCAATATGATTTTCACCAACCAAATATTTCCAATCTGAAGTGTGCACAAATCTTCTCTTTGTTTTAATGATGCACGGAATCGTGCTTTAGGAAGAAATCGATTACTAATACTGAAGAATCAACAAATCATTAACTAAAAGTTAGACAGGACAGGGCTGCTAACCTTTATAGAATTAGAATTGATCCTTTAGAAAAATGAACAGGTCGATACAATTGGGACTTTTGGATGGTGCTTGATTATTGTGACAGTTATTATCTACAAACAATGGGGCACGTGAATTTGATACTTTTGAGCGAGGACTCGAAGAAGGTTTTAAAAATCGAGTCTTTGTTTTGATTTTTAAAGTTTTTCCCTAGACCTTCACTTTCACTTTAAATAAAGTTTTATTAAATCTTGGCGTGCTCTAAGCCTATATGGAGGGTACAATATACAGTGGAGGGACAAAATTGATAAACATGAGGATATTTCTACTTACATTGCTTCTATCTTGTAAGTATCTTGATAAATTGTGAAAAACAAATGTGAGTATTTATGAAATGCCTCTGAGTACATGTAAATGAGAGAAAAAAAAAACTTGATTGGGCTTTTTATCGCTCGAAATGCAATTTTTCTCACGTTTGAAATTCTTTCAGTGTAATTGAATAATGGGCAAAATCTGTAGTTTTCACTCCTTTCTGATTATTGGTCAAGCTCTTTTTTAAAAAATCACATGTATTTATTTATTTCTGTATATTCGTGAACGTTTTAGATAATAGAATAGTTTTACAATGAATAATGTTTACGTTTTAAAAAAGATATTTTTAAGAAAGTGATGTTTGGGTTTCAATATTAGGGATCTCGTATTGATTCTATGTGATCAAAACAGATTTTTACCGTTAAAAAAAGATGTTTACAGATTCAGAATTCGAGTTCGAATTCAAGGAAACATTTTATCGGTGACTGACTCGACTCATTTTTTAAAAAATATCTTTCATAATTTACATCTTAAATAACCATGATAAATTATTATAACTTTATTTGATTTCTCAGTGCGGATAAGTAAACAAAAGAATCAGTAGCGAGTCGCTATCTGCTAGTTTACACAAACGATTTTGTTTTGCAAAACGTAAAGAAATTCACCATGATAGTTATATGTAAAGAAACCCTTTAAAACACTTGCATTTTATTCCATGTATCAACATTTACAAAACAACTAAACAAGTGGATATAAAGTGAGATTACCAAACAGTGAATATTTATACTCATGACAATGTATAGATCTGTGAAGCAATTATATTCCATTTTCAGGGCCTTTAATAGTAAGTGTAAATTTCATTGAATAAACCTTTTTTTCAAAATATTAAAACCAGTTTAACAATAGACTTCGGTTTGACGCTCTTGTCACGACTTCTTTGTACCAAAGGGACTGGAAATCACGAAATCGTCCATTGAAACCATGTAGCGGTTCTTGGTATCAAAGCTCTTCATTGCCTGGTTAATTACATAGACTTACATTGAATAGAACCTCAAGTTAAAATCCTTGTATGAACCCGAAGAATGTTAAGTATATACGTGATTTTGGTGTATGCCAAAAGAAGAAAAATGATCTGAAAATAAATTTAAATGATCTGACGAATAGAATTTTCAGACATTTAATAAATCTTGTCAATTTTAATAATTAAAGGTATTCCGTACCTTAAAATGCGGTCATCTGCATCCCTAAGTCCTTTAAATTATTATACCTCTACATCAATCTGTTAAATTTTAAACAATTCACATAAAAAAAGTTAAAGCTAGAGATGAAGGAAAAAAATCATTTTCTTATCGTAATGTTACATGTATTTGTTACAAAATCAATTACAGGGTCTCTAAACTGTGTCTCCTCATTTTAAATTTTAGTTATGAAAAAGTTGATCATACATGTGTATTTTAGCTCTTTAAACTTGCCACATATATGTAATTACAGATATAGTCTTATTAAAACGCATATACTAGGTGATCCGCAAGCTGAAGTTTAGCTTCTTTATTTTTTCTTTCCTTACAGTTGGTCCTTTTTGCGAAGCAGCTTTTTCATATTCTCTTGAGAACGACTTGAGAACTCTTCTCTTTACAACTAACACTTACAACCGATTTACACGGCCACTATCCCAAGTAAACATTACAGCCGAACTCAACCTGCTGACCCTTACATCTTTGGTGAGTCGATTTTCTGATACAAGGATTTTTTAAAGTTTAGAAATATATGTTTAGCTACATGTACGTTTGACCCGTTATTATGATGTTTTGTAATAGTAATCTTTAAGTTATATTTTACTGTCATTTATTAGTATAATTTCTATATTTTGTGTGGGTTGTCTTTTTATATTGGCATTTGATTTTTTTTAGAGTATTAAAGATCAGACGATGGCGATTGCCGGCTATTTTACATTTGTAAGTAACATCTTCAAATTTCAAAACATTGTCGAAGGTCATCTCACAACACTCTTTAAAAAGTAATTGAACCGTTACAATACTTGTTGTAACGCGACATTTGATTAGATAAAAAAAAAATCGTGCAATCTGCTTTTCATACAGTGTATGTCAGATGGTTTTCGCTAAAAAAAAAAAAAAGCCTGACGTTACAGATGATGAAATTTGTACAATTTAAAAATTAATACATTTTAAAAGTCTCTTGTCTTCTTTTCAGATTTTACCGTAATGAATAAGAATTGAAAAATAAGGAATGAATTTACTTGTGTAATCACTGTCCACTCATTACTGTATAAACTAAGTTGCATTACTTAAGAATTTTTCAACCGCTGCCCCAGCCAAGTTTATACATGTACTGTATAAATTAGGTAGTTATTTAATTCATTCCATAACTTCTTTAATTTGTATTTAAATTGAACAAGAGATGGATTCGTATCAAACATGCTCAAAGGGCCTGATATTGTTAGTCATATCTAAATTATCTTTGGATGAATGTGTATGGATCAGCTACTTTCTATATAAAATACAATCCATAATCAAAGTTGGCTTAGATGATACTTAATATGTATTTTTCCAACTTCTTCTAAAGACAGCATATACATGTACGAGCATTTTCTTATGTATAAACGAATGAACCACCTCTAGATGTTAGAAGAATTAAACTTACTTTACAGTTTACAATATGATTAAATTAAAAGCAAACACTGACAATTCTGCATATGGCTGTAATTTTCATCCACAAAATGCACATTTACTTGTCAATTATGAACATTAATACATAAAACAGATTTAAAATCAAAAAACAGAGCTATGATCTACCTCGGACAACTTGATCTTATAAAATACCACCGTGGAAAATAATTAAACCAAGATTTCCTCATTACCTAGCTGAAAAGTTTCTTGAAAACAAGAAATCTGTGAGCGAATGCTCACTAGTAATACCCCCGCTCTGATATGAATGTAAAACTATGCTTTTATGTAAACATACACATGTTCAGTTAAAGAAATGTCGTACTTTTTAAGTATTTATCTTCATTTAAAGTTTATTCTTTAACATCATTAAAGCTGATCCAGAAAGTATCCTTAACAAAACATAGGAACCAAAGCATCTTGTTAGAAATACAGTATATATACCAGTATTATGCTTGCTTTTTACTTGATAATATACTAATATATATAAATCTATAATATGAAATTATTCACATATAAATGTTTTATGGAATTATTCACAAACAGTGTTAAATAGGTTCTTACATTTATCACGCAAATTTTCCTTTGGTTCATGGCATCATATTCAAAATAGTTTTACCCAAGGCACAGCCATATGGAGATGGAAATGGTCTGAATAATGAATGGGAATCACATTTGTAATTTCTGATTCATCAAAATGTTTGTTGATGAAAATACGGTCAAGTGAGCCTCCTTTTCTGTGAGTTGGTGACTGACTATAATCAATAAATCCGTGGTACCGAAACAATTCGTTTAATGATTTGGCTGGATCTGTTAACTTCAAGTTGAAGTTGCCATATATTATAGTAGGGACACAATCTGTAGGAGTGTGACTGATTAGTCTGTCCAGTTGCTTGAAGAAGAATGCATTTTGTGTATTTGGTGGAACATACAAGAGAATGAGCATCAGACGTTTACTTGGATTCACCCTACAGGACAACACAAGACACTGATACTGCAAATTGATTCTTCACAATGCAATTCTGACACAACACGAAATGACTTCTTCACATAGGTTGCTACTCCACCTTGTGGTCTTCTGTTTTGAACAGAATAATCTTGACGATAGAGATGGTATTCTGGACTAAGTTCAAGACTTTCAGTTGATACTTTTGAGTAAAGCCAGGTTTCAGACAAGGCTACAATGTCACTGGTGCTGATGTACTGGTCCACTGAAAGACACTGATAGTGAGGACAGAGAGAATTAATGTTAAGTACACTAATTTTAAAGAAACTGTCTGGTGGTGCTGTAACAGAACATGGAATACTCCATTTAAAGCTGTTATCTTTCCGAATTCTCTCCATTTCTTTGACAGTCCTGGGGTCAGAGGTGATCTTTGATGATTGAAATTCACCTAGAATGTAAAGACCTTCTTTAGTTTTGACCCTGCTTAATGCTGTATACATTTGTCCAGCTTTGAATGCTCCTTTCATTGATATCACTAGATTATCAACAGTTCTACCCTGGGCTTTATGAATGGTAACACCCCATGCCAGGGTTAGAGGAAATTGTGTCCTTTTTGCAGTTATTTTTCTATGTTTTACAGTTACTTCATGAACTGAAATAGGTGTGGATACCTCATCAGGTACAATTCGCTGAAGTTTAGATCTTAGTTTTTCACCAACTCGATGTTTATCAAAGTGGACCAACACATATTTAGGTCTGTAATCACTAAACTGAGGGTCAGATGGATCTGGATGCTGAGGTAGAAAACCAGTCACTGTTCCTGTGGCAGAGTTGGTTAATCCATCACTAGTATCTACATTTGCTGTCATCATAACTCTCGCCCCTTTAGCTATTTTCAGTTCGTGCAACATTCCACCTGGTTTCTTCTTTTCATCGAATGTAATGTTTTCAATACGACCAGTTTGTTGATCTGTCTTGGATTCAATAGCTGACACTTTAATTACTGGTGATTCTATGCTCTCTAACATTTGATTGTTATGTTCATCAAAATCTTTATTAAAAGCAAATATATGCAGTGCTTGTTTTGGATATGTTGGTGAGGAAGCATCTGTTTCTCTGTTCTTAATGACTTGTATATCATTGTCAGTATGCTTAAATGACCTAATTCTGTTGAGAGCCTCAGCGAATTCAACATCATCTTTCTGCCGCATTATTTGGTGAAGTTCTAGCACTCTAAAATTTTTCTTCCACAATAAACCATACATTGATGCAATAGAATCAGAAACTGTGTCAAACACTGGTCTTTGGGCGACTGGTGGCAGCTGGGAGAGGTCACCTACAGCTAAAACTGATACCCCACCAAAAAGGCTCATCGGATGTCATAATCTCTGACAGACGTCTGTGAACAGTGTACAGGTGATCAGCTTTAACCATGGAAATCTCATCAATAATCAAAAGGCAAAGATTTCCTAGTTTTTCTCGCATACTAGACAACTGTTCTTCTGAAAGTCTGATATAGTCATCACGCTTGGACTGATTAACTGGTAAACCGAATGCAGAATGCAAAGTGTGGCCTTCAATGTTGAAAGCAGCCACACCAGTGAAAGCGCAGACCATGACAACAATGTCAACTTCTCCTTGACCTAGTCCCAACAATTTGTTTGCTGTGTGTACTATGGTTCTGATCAAGTGTGATTTCCCAGTGCCTGCTCCTCCAGAAATGAAGACATGGAATGGCTTTGGACGTTTTGCTGTTTTATAAGTCATTGACATTTGTATGCACCATTCAACAATGAACTGCTGGATTTCTTGCTGTTCAGTATTGAGAGATATTGTCATACTAAGCCACTGCTGTGCTGATATCTTCCTACTGTCCAATTCATACTGATAAGCAACCAACCCAAGATCTGATGTTTCATTTCCATGCTCAGGAACAATAGCTTCAAACTCTGGATCTTGTTGTGCTCCCCTGTATCTATCTTCTCTCTCCTGTTGTTCTGTTTGTGGAGCTAGTGATGCCCAGGCATCTTCAGGAGGCCCATTCTCTTGTAGTTCTTCAACAGCTTGTGCATACTCTTAATTGTTTGGCTCATAATAGTTCATTCTGTCACAAAAGGTTGGTATACAATTGAAGTATTTTGTTTTATATGTACCATCTTCATCCAACAGGTCTTTGGTTTCATCTCTCCATGGTTTGTACAGTAACAGTTTGGGGTGATAGTACTGCTCGGGTTGTTTCAAGATGGAGAACTGATAAGATCTGATAATGACTGGTCTGGAACGGAGAGTTAAGTTTGTTGATTTATTTTTCAACTTTATGGATTTAGGAAGATTGTTGATTACAGTTTCTGGATCAAATGATGCTTCTTCTAGAAGGTCTGGATCTGAGTTGGTATTTGTTTTCCAAGCATATGAATAATTTGCTGCAAAATCTGCAAGGCAAATGTGTTCAATGCAATCAGGTCTAAGTTGATGTTTTTCCAGCATGCCTTCCTGGAATAGGTTTCCTTCATCATCATCAAGCTCCTGTATAACTTTCATGGGTTTCAAAAGTTTTGTCCTATTCTCAGCTAAATCTGTATGAAGGAAAATGACCTGGCGTGATCCTTTAAATAGTGATAATGGCAATAATCTATACACTGCCTCTTGGGCACTGACTTCACGATGAGAAAGGAATTTCTTAGATACAGTCTCCATCATCTTCTTTGGACCAGCTGGTGCTGAATTCTTACTAACAGACTTTAAGACATCACCCAATGTTTTCTCTGGTTTGCTTACATATGATGCCACATACATTATACAGACATAAACATTTGTGGCATACTGAAGGTCAAGGTTTGCTTGCCAGGCATTCATTAGGGTTGGGCTGTAATTGTTAATGACGCAATGAGATGAATTACGTCTGTACAATATAGCAGGCTGGCCTTGCTTTGTTTTTATCCAAGTTAATGCCTTCATATACAAAGTTTCAGGAATTTCAAGTTCTTCCAACAAAGCTTCTAATGTAACTTCTGGATTATGTTGTACATCTTCCATTTTACCCATAACTGCTGTCAACAACTCTGTGTAGATTGTCTGTGTTCGTTTGTCTGGTGTATCCTTTGGTGGAAGCACAACTGTAGTTTTACAAACAGGGGCTTTGGAAAACTGAATCTGCATTTTGTTCCATGGGTTTTAAATGTCAAAGAGTGAATGTGTCGTTGCACAGTTTGAATCAGGGTTGCAAGATGATGATCTTGTTGTGGAATTGTACATGCCAAATATTGGTCAATGATGTCAGCTAATTGTTCAGGAGAGTTTTGTGATATTGAAGGTGCATTTTTAACCCATAGCAGCATATGGCAGTGGGGTGACCCCCTTTGCTGGAATTCTATCCTGCATTTGTAATCATGTATTTCTCCAATGGGTTTTGACTTTCCAAGAACTAGTGTTGACATGAAAAGCTGAAGTCTGTGATCAAAATGCCTTGCAGCTGTAACAGGATTAGTCCGTAACCAAGTGCTTTTTTGTACCCAAGTCATGTTTTCTACTTGTTCATCTGAAAGTTTTTGATTATGTTGTGCAGCTATCACTTGAATTGTATCTTTCCACTTCATGTCAGCAGAGGACAATGTCAGGAACCATGTACAGCTCCCCAGTTGTCTTATCATTCCTAAAAGGTCATACAGTAATTTGCTAAAGAAAGCTGGTGATCCACGAACATTTTGTGGGAAATGATAGCTAAGGTCTGAGCGGGCTTGACGTCTCATTTATTCAGCATTCTTTATCTGGCCTGCTGTTATTTTCTCCAACTGATGTTGTCCTTTACATTTTCTCATGGCAATACTTAGACAGTCAGCAACCTTTTTGGCTTCACTTCTATACTGTGCATAAAACAAGTACTCTGTGGAGGCTGCAAAGCGGATGTCACAATTGAGAATCCTCTGACTGAAGTATATATTTTACTAATGAAATTGGTCTGCTGTGCTGACAGTCAAATCCAAATTTTCCTGTAGGAAATAATGTAGGAAAGGCCATTTCTTCACTATGTTTATCTGCACACAGCCCTATTGGCTTTTTACCTTCTCCTGGTGCTAAATTCAATAAAAAGTCTTTGTCTGCACTAATGTCTCTTGGTTGCAAACAAGAATCAAAAGGCAAACCATTTACTTCTGATCGATATTCTATTTCATTGTCACTTCCTTCATTGTCTGATTCCTGTCCTTGTTCTGACTGTTGATCTGTCTCACTGGATGAACTTGGTAAAACATGTACTGTAGTGCCACTGTTTGATGTACCATTGCTTGTCAAAGCCTCCCATAGTTGTGGATTATCTTCACAGCTGTCCTCTTGCCAGTTATCATTGATGATGATGCCCTGATAATGAGGATTTTCTGTACATTCTTAAGATGTTGTAAAGTTTTCCATGGTCTTACTGACTGAACAATAACATGACCTCTATACTCTATCTTGCGTTTCAGTTTCACTGTTATACATGACGAAGAAGATGGCAGACGAGGTAATATGGAACAGGTCTCTTCTGGATTTACTGGCACGTTTACTACACATCCATGTACGGCCTTCTGCTTACCACGGGGCAGAGCAAGGATTTTCATAAAGGGAATTCTTTTGCTTATTAAAGTTGATTCTAATGTTGACAAATCCCTCAACTGTTCTAGTATATCATCTAGAATTAATGAATTTGCTATCGCTTGCATAGGCATCATATTACGTTTCAAATTCCATGTGTATGTGGTGCAAATATACTGTTCCCCATCAATACTTCTCTTTTGTGTATTGCATATTTCTAACAATTCTTTGTCACACATAGTAAAGACACTTTCATTGTACAAAACAACACATTCCCTGTACATTTGTCTTTGGCAAACAGAGCAGATATATGTTGGACCTTGTTTAATCATCTGCAGAAAAGTTGTATTGCATTGCCAGCTTCAGAAGTTTTTGCTGCTCTTTGTTCCTTCATTTGATTTCTGTTTTTTTCTCGAGTGCATTTTGTCAATTCATCAAGGGTTTTTCGTTTTTTTTCCTTCTGTTTTTTGTCTCCCTGTTTAATCTCAGTTTTGGCTTCTTCATGAAGTGTTTTTCTTTTCGCTTGCTTTTGTTTTTTGTCTTTTTCTTTAGTTTCAGTTTTGGCCTCTTCATCACATGTTTTTCTTTTCGCTTGCTTTTGTTTCTTTTTTTTTCTTTAATTTCAGTTTTGGCCTCTTCATCAAGTGTTTTTCTTTTCGCTTGCTTTTGTTTTTGTCTTTTTCTTTAATTTCAGGTTTGGCCTCTTCATCAAGTGTTTTTCTTTTCGCTTGCTTTTGTTTTTTTTTTGTCTTTTTGTTTAATTTCAGTTTTGGCCTCTTCATCAAGAGTTTTTCTTTTCTTTTCTATATGTGTCTTGTTTTTATGCTTAATCATAGCTCTGGCCTCTTCATCAAGTGTTTTTCTTTTCTCTTGCTTTTGTTTTTTGGCTTTTACTTTAAATTCTGCTTTTGCATCTTCATCAAGGTTTTTCCTTCTTTTTGATTTCCGTTCCCTATCCATTACTTTTAAAACTGTTTTTCTAGCTTCGGGGAGATTTTTTATTCAATTGGTAACATTTCTAGGATTATAAGATGTACTGGTACTCTTGTTCGTTCTATTGCTCGAAATGATACAGCCTAACTGAGAAAACTTCCTTTTGACTTCTTTACTTGATGACACTACTTCGGAATCTCCCTTATCCATATTTTTGTAATTGTTCATGATTTGAAATTGCCATTGTCTCTGTTTATTTATTTCTCTTTCAATAAAAGAATATTGTGTTTCTCCAGTTTCCTTTTGTTCTGTTTTAAATTTAGCAGAAGGTTTTGAATAAAAGGGTTTCACACAATCTGTTGATTGACTCTGTTTACAGGTAGAAGGTTTTGAAATATCTGTTTTACCTCTTTCACATTTTGAATCATCTTCAACATTAGCAGAAAGTACTGGTGCATCTTTACTTTTCAAAGTAACACCTGGTTTGCTTGAATCAACAATTTTAACACAATCAGTTGATCTCAACTGTTTACTGGTGGATGGTTTTGAATCATTTTTTCTTTCCCTTTCACGCTTTCTTCTTTCTTTTATTCTTTCATCTGCAGACTTTTTCTTTCTTGGCATTCTTAAAGGTTTGTCTGAAAATGAGAAATAACTTTTCATATTTTTGTTAAAATGTTACCACATGAAATGCTTAGCTGATGTCATATATATATTTAGATATTATTCCTGTACGAAATCAAACACATGAAAGAACAATTCAATTTGGACTTATTCAATGAATATGATACTGGTACATTGTTAATGAATAAATAACTGTATGGAAAAATGGAATGAAATTAAAATTAATCATGAAACAGCTGAGCATCATGTGATAACAATATAATGATATTCATCCATGAAGTCTTTGTCTTTGAAATCTAAAAAAGAAAAATAATAAAAGAAAAATAGGATGTAAATGAGACTTGGCTATTAATTATATAAAGAGTGCGTTAAAATTTCTGTGGTGAAAAACTGTGGTCAAAATTTGTTACAGCCAGACACACAGATAAACAGGAAGTTGACATCAGCAGATTTGTTCAAAACTATATCCCACCATATGGCATGCCTTGACCAAAAGTGTGTTGAAATTTCAAGCATCTACGGTAAGTAGTTGCTGAATAAACTGCAACGAAAATTTGTTACAGACAGACACACGGATAAACAGGAAGTTGGCATCACATTTGTTAAGAAATATATCCCACCATATGGCATGCATAGACAAAGGATGTGTTTAAATTTCAAGCATCTAGTTGCTGAGAAAACTGTGACGAAAATTTACAGATGACGAAAATTTATTACAGACAGACGCACGGATAAAGAGGAAGTTAAAATCCGATTTGTTCAGAAATACATCCCACCATATCGCATGCCTCAGAGAAGATTGTGCTGAAATTTCAAGCATCTACCATGAGTAGTTGCTGAGAAAACTGTGACGAAAATTTGTTACAAATGCCGAAAATTTATTACAGACAGACGCACGGATAAACAGGAAGTTGACATCGGATTTGTTCAGAAATACATCCCACCATATGGCATGCCTCAGAGAAGATTGTGCTGATATTTCAAGCATCTACCATGAGTAGTTGCTGAGAAAACTGTGACGAAAATTTGTTACAGATGCCGAAAATTTATTACAGACAGACGCACGGATAAACAGGAAGTTGACATCGGATTTGTTCAGAAATACATCCCACCATATGGCATGCCTCAGAGAAGATTGTGCTGAAATTTCAAGCATCTACCATGAGTAGTTGCTGAGAAAACTGTGACGAAAATTTGTTACAGATGCCGAAAATTTATTACAGACAGACGCACGGATAAACAGGAAGTTGACATCACATTTGTTCAGAAATACATCCCACCATATGGCATGCCTCAGAGAAGATTGTGCTGAAATTTCAAACATCTACCATGAGTAGTTGCTGAGAAAACTGTGACGAAAATTTGTTACAAATGCAGCAAATTTATTACAGACAGACGCACGGATAAACAGGAAGTTGGCATCGGATTTGTTCAGAAATACATCCCACCATATGGCATGCCTCAGAGAAGATTGTGCTGAAATTTCAAGCATCTACCATGAGTAGTTGCTGAGAAAACTGTGACGAAAATTTGTTACAGATGCCGAAAATTTATTACAGACAGACGCACGGATAAACAGGAAGTTGACATCGGATTTGTTCAGAAATACATCCCACCATATGGCATGCCTCAGAGAAGATTGTGCTGAAATTTCAAGCATCTACCATGCGTAGTTGCTGAGAAAACTGTGACGAAAATTTGTTACGGACGGACACACGGACACACAGACACACGGACAGACGGACAGACAGACAGACACACAAGGGTAAAACAGGGGGTCAGCATCTACCATGCGTAGTTGCTGAGAAAACTGTGACGAAAATTTGTTACGGACGGACACACGGACACACAGACACACGGACAGACGGACAGACAGACAGACACACAAGGGTAAAACAGTATACCCCCCTCTCCTTCGGAGCGGGGGTATAAATATATATATAGCAAAAACTCGAGGAGGCAAAAATATTGGAATATCTGCACATTGTGTCTTAAAGATTTCGGAGTTTGATGAAATTCTGTGCAGCGGTATATCACCTTTATATTCAAGATTTGGTCGAAAAATTAAATTAAAAAGTGCCCAAATTGTTGTGTGTGGCTTAATAACAGTTTAAACATTCTACAATACAAATTAATTACACAGATGGTTAAAAGGACAGGGGGTAGGGTTGTTGCCCTTGCAGTGTTCAAAATATTTTTTCTACCACTATTTTTTATAGTTGAAGCGAATGCCATACATCTTGCTTCTGAATAGATAAAAAAAGTAAAAATTCATTTTATATATTTCATTTCGATACACAATGTGGACATAAATAAGTCAAGTGCAATCATTGCTCTTAACAAGGTCACAAAGTCGATCGAATATTGTTGGATTCCAACATATGTAATACTTGCTTGGTAATTCGGGTAAAAACAAGGCCAAACGTTCTACAAAAGCTGCATTCCGATATAAAATTGTACCTTTTAAAATTTCTTAGTATTTTAACGATCTAACGTTCTCACTGTATCTAAACGTTTATTCTCTTTTGCAAATATTTTTGAAATTTTGTAATAATAATGAATTGTATGCCATACAAAACAAAGTTGATCAATCATCTAATTTCGGTCCGAACGCCGGGAGGGTCGTTATGTCTACAATTCGTATTGGACATTCCCTGGAATATCAACCTGAATGTGTATCTTGTGATTGTGCAATAACTACACACCATAACCTTTTGGAATGTACTGATTTTCACTTATATAAAGTAGACGTTTTAAATATTGTGTGAATAATGCATAAATTATGCATGTTTCTTTTACAAACAATTGTACAGTACTTACAGTTGCACGAAGCTGATTTTTTTTTAGTAAGATTTCAAATGAACATTGTATAAATTTTTACATGTGTATTAGCATTGTTAGTAGAAGTACTTTTCGTACAATTTTTTTAAATTCTAAAGTCCCTCAGATGGAACATTAAGTAGTGGCCCTTGCCAAGGAACACCGGGACGCTTAAGGTCTCACACAAGGAAATAATTTCACTATATATTACTATATAGCTTGAATTAAATTATTTAATTTATTAGACTCTCAGCAGAAAATTCATGAAAGAGAAAATAAAGATTAATGCTTAAACAAAAATTTGAGATCAGAAAAAATATGCCTTATGCGGCTTTTAATAAATAAAATCGACAGTAAACTTACCTACCCCGAAATGCACGTGGGATTCACATGTTGACAAACAGCCTACACACCATCCAGGAAGTTGCATCATGCGCACCTGAAAAAAGTTCCTTTTAATTCAGTGGGATAATTCTGCTAAAGAAATGATATTCCTAGTACATGAGTCCAATTTTAATACTGTAGGCCTAAAACAAATTGCCAAAAATGAAAAAAAGAAAAAAAAATCTCTATATATATATATGGAACTTCAATTGGGTACAAGTAAATTCGGCACCTGGTGAATTCGGCACTCAAAGAAAAAGTGAATTCGGCATCTAGTGAACTCGGCACCTAGTGAACTCGGCACCAGAATCTGGTTAATTCGGCATCAGATATTGGTAAAATCGGCACCTTTCATTAATAAATCGAGATATTTATTATTACTTAAGATTTTTCCTTAATATTTTCCTTTTGACTATTTGTTGATTAATGAATTTGCCTTTAAGAGTTATTAAATATTTAACTGAAATTCATGTATTTATCCTTGATTTGCAGACACTTGTTTAAAATTACCCGTAAATATTTTCTTTTCTGTTTTATTTATTATTTTGTAAATGCGTTTTTGGTGACATTCATTTACTGATTTAAAGAAAAAAAAAACCAAAAAAACAACTAATTAATTTTTTTTTAACGGATTGATGCGTTTTAATGTCGTTTTTGATGGGATGATGCGTTTAAAATAAAATTGTTATGAAATAAAACTGGATACAAATTATATACATTTATATCTACATTTCAGTACTGAAATTTCCTTTAAAAATTTGAATTCAATTTTCAAAGTCATCGGTAATTATTATGATTTTTTTTTTGTTTTTTTGTTTTTGTTTTGTTTTGTTTTGTTTTTTTTTTTGTATAAAGTCCCTTCTCAATGAAGAATTTAGAATTTTAATTCGAACTTAAACGTACATCATTGAATATTGTTAAAGTAGTATGTGGCATATTTTAGATAGGTACAGACTAACAAAAATGAAGATTTTTAAAATTTGTTTTGTTACTTTGTAAAGACAGGACTTTCCTGTAAATTACACAATTTAAATCGATATTCGAGATCCAAAACAACCAACCCACCTTTTCCCGACTCGGCATTAAATATCAGAAACATCAGTTTCTAGAAACATGGGGATATTTAAGTTCCAATGCGGTGAAAAAAAATAATTTTATAAATACCAAATATTATGTAAATCTACACATAAATCTCCCATTATTATTATTTTTTTTTCTTTTTAGCTCGAATACGTTAAATAGATTTTTTTTTTTGATTCTCAACAAAACGGGATGAAATTCTCACGATATAAAGATATGTTAATGGTTAAGATAATATGCCATCTTCATCTTGCGTGAGGTAGTTGATATCATTGTAGCTTTTATAATTCTTTTATGAAATCCTTCGATACTGAACATATTTTTTAAAAAGTCTTACAGGAATTAGGCACAAAAAAGGAGTTGGGGGAACATCCGCTACGGTCCCTTTTATATTAACTCTATATAGTTTACTATTTGTTAAACTATTCAACGAGTCCGTATTCAGCATTTATTTACTTCTCTAGTGACCGCTCCGACAAAAAACCTTTTTTTTTGGTCATCATTATATTTGTTACATATTAGCGTAAGATAATCCATTTGAGATCTAATTAAAATGTTCTACACTCGGTAATAAAATACATCTGGTTATTAAACACGTGCGTTTACAACCCAAATTACACGACCCCATGTAGATTCCTACCAAGCCTGCTGTTTTTAGAAGAATTTTTTATTGAAGTGAAATTATAATCATTATGTTAATTTCTTTTTATATTGACTTACTGATGAATATATGGAGCATGATGATCTGTTAAAAATCAAATATAATCAATGTTTATTTTTTTTTTTTCCAAAGCTCGAAAAACTTGGAAAATAACCCTAATACATGTATATGGACTAAAGCATAGACGATACATTAATTGTACATGTATGTTCCTCGATATTAGTATATAATTTGCTAATATTTTGATACAAGAAAATTGCTATTTTATCATTCACTATCATTTTAATAGAAAACAGTTATGAAGATCGATGATATTAAAAATATTTCCGTACAATCACATTTTTTCTAGATTCGTGCCGTGTATTCTTTGCTTTGTTTACTTTTATGGTGTATGTTTCGCTGCTGTATTATTTTAATTTTTTGAAACTTTATATCTAGACAGAGAATTTTAAATAAAAAACCTAAAGTGTGTATAAACTGCAAAACATCAATTAATTCACCCCTTACATTAGAAACATTGAAAACATTGGCAATAGAAAGATAAAAATAGATGAAAAGTAAGTCGTATAATATAGGTGCCGAATTCACTAGATGCCGAATTTACCAGGTGCCGAGTTTACTAGGTGCCGAATATACCTGGTGCCGAATTCACTTTGCTTGGTGCCGAGTTCACCAGATGCCGAGTTTACCAGGTGCCGAGTTGACTAGAATTCCTTCAATTGACTAAGTTCATTTTGATTGGCTATTTCCTTGCGTAAGACCTTTAAGATCGTTTCTTTGGTTTCAAAAAGGGTACGTTTATTGAGTGCCGCCAGAGAAACCCAAAATATGAATCTGTACTGGTCAAATACATGTAAGACTAAAACATTGCCGACTTTGTGTGAAACAACAAGAATCAATCAATAATCACAGTTAATTCACGTGCATAAAAAGTGTTCAACACATACGATTTAGACCATGAATGTTTGAAATAAAAATCTTTGCATTGCTATAAATTATAATTTGTTAAAACTCAGGCACATAATTGTGTCATTTTAAAATATTAGCCGGATTTATTGCACACCCGTTAGATCACTCGACCAACCCATATTTCTTCTGATAATTGTTTAAACCTTATTTTTGAATGCTGTATACATGTACATTTAAGAATTATTTAGCAATTTCATTGACTTCAGGCACGTAGCCTGCCCCTCCCCCCCCCACTTTTTTTCCCAACATTATTTATGCTATTGAAAATGTTCATTGAAAGGTTGGGTGCCCCCCCCCCCAGTTTTTACCTCGGTAAAGTGATGTGAAGGGAATGTAGTACTGTATGCCCAAAACTGGTATTGAAAGAAATCGGCATCTAAAAAAGTTGGCCTCTACAACCCCCCACGGATTTTCGAGTTTTGGAATTTTTTTTTTGCTTGTCAACTTTCTTTCAGGTAAGTAAAAAAAAATTTTCTGGCTGTCCCCTCCCCCACTTTCATAAACGATGCTACGTGCCTGGACTTCACCAAATATAATGAAGAGAATAAATTAAAACTTTCGTTTATCAAAGTGACACACAACCACTCTTCTTCTCGAAAAGAAGTTATGACTTTTTTCTATGTACCTTTACCTAAAATTATATTTTTATGCAGAAAGACTGAACAAAATATTTTTTGGTTAATAAATAACCATTTGATATAGAAACAAATATTAATATATCTTGTTTACACAACAGTCACTGTAACTACTTTAACTAATTTGGACTTTAAGTCATTTAATGCAAGAGAGCCCTTCACAATCTAAATATGGTTAATATCGTATGATTATGATATCTAATGATTTTTCAGACATAATATAAAGTTTACTTAATAATTCAGGAATGGACTGACAATCGACTATCTTGGAGTTCTAATGCATTATACAACAGCGACATACCAGCATTTTACACCACACAAGACTATGTCTGGATACCTTCCCTCGCCGTCACAAATTCGTAAGTCAAACTCGTAATAATGTGTTCTGTACAAGAAAGGCCTGTTTTTAAAGACCACACGACTCTGAAGTTTTCATCGTCAAAAAAAAAAAAAAAAAAAAAAAAAATCCGGAAAAAATTTTTCCCACCCTCAACTAGAAAAAAAAACCCACTAGGATGGCAACGTGTTTTTGGGGGATCCACCAAAACAAATAGATCTGGGCTTGGCCAGAATAATTCCTGACTAACTCACTATCTGGAGCATTTGTATTATTCATTCAAGTTGAAAATCCCAATCTGATTGACTACTACGGACCGTTTCTGGCTCTTTTTCGACATTGACAGCTCATCCTGGACTCCATGCCACTAAACCGGAAGTGATAATCGCAATGTATATTGACGTCTTCAAAAGCTTGTTCAAATAAAATAAAATAAATAATTGTTCAACGTAATTTGATTCAGTTATTTGAAATACATTCAATAGATTTTTAAAAAGTTATTAATTCTTTTTCTTACTTATATGACGATATGTAACAGCGACAGATAATTCAGTTTTTACAAGGCGCCAAATTTAAATCACTGAAAAGCCAAGTCAACAAAGAGCGAAACAGCTTGACTTAGCGACCTTATAAGGCATTATTTTGTTTTAAAATTTTTTTCTTATTGTTCACATATGGTAACATAATATTGTAAATGAAATTTTACATGCATTTTTTTGTTTCTTTTCTTCAATTACGTTATATATTCACTGCGGAGTTCACTTCCGGTTTAGTGGCATAGAGTCCAGGATGAGCTGTCAAACTGGAAAAAAAAAGCCAGAAACGGCCCGTAGTCGTCAAGCATTTTGGATTTCTTAACTTGAATACATAGCACAAACACTCCGGATACTGAATTAATTGAGAGATTTTCCTGGCCAAGCCCAGATCTTTTTGTTTAGGCGGGTCCCCCAGAAAAACACGTGCTATCCTGGTGTTTTTTTAGTTTAGGGTGGGAAATTTTTTTCCGGATTTTTTTTTGTTTGTTTTTTTTTTGTTTTTTTTTTTGCGATTAAAACTTCAGACTCCCGTGATAAAGATATAGTTGATAATTTTGTACATAATTATTTATATTTGTTCAATTCGTAACCTTTCCTTATAACGGAAAATCGTAAAATTATTTTGATTTTTGCCCATATATAGAAAAACAAGATTTATTTCACGAAGCGATGATGAAAAATATCTGAAAGCATATCTGTAACTTGTGAAATAACGTGTACATTTTTCTCTAGGATAAGTGATATCGCAGTTATCAGTGACAATACTTTCATCATCCGCGTCTCCAAGGAAGGTACCCTGAAGTGGACTCCGGGTGGCATCTACGAAACTCAGTGTACTACAGATGTGACCTATTATCCCTTTGACATACAAACTTGCGCAGTCACACTTACCACCTGGGGATATACAAACATAGAAATAGCCCTAATGGGTTCAGGGGTGGAACTAACTTACTATGAACCAAATGGAGAGTGGGATTTCGCATCTTATTCTATGTCGTCCTCTACGCGTACGCATGGTAGAAATAGTTTGCCTCAGATCAGCTTCAATTTGACTTTCAGACGCCGTCCTGCATTCCAGATCATGAACACTATAATTCCCATGATTCTTTTGGCTTCTTTAAGTTGTTTTGTTTTTCAACTTCCGCCAGATTCAGGAGAGAAGATGGGATACTCTCTTACAACTCTTCTGGCTTTTGCTGTTTATCTTACATTGGTATCTGCAAATATCCCGACGACTTCCATCAATACGGCAACTCTTTGTAAGTTCTTTAATTTGATCTATGTTAAATAATAAAAATGAATACATGAATGAATGCACATCACAAATCCAGCAAAAAAAAAAAAGTATTAAAGAAATTTTTATACCATGAACAATGGTACTTGCATACATTAATCAATGTCTATTTATGGTCTCCTTTATAACAGAAAAATGCAGGAGCGTGTATCTTTAAATCCGCTGCTTGATATGTTCAATTCCAAGAAATTAAAGTTTTTAGTTTCATCCAATGTAAAACAATGGATTTGGAAACCGGATAATAAATACAAATGGACTGAATTTATCATCTGGTCCACCTCTGGTATTTCCAAAGGTCCGTGTTTTAGCCAATAACCCACTCATATTGTTTAGAGGTTAATGAGATTGATCTCTGTTATCCTCCAGTTCTTCAACTGTATATGACACTTTAAACAGATATATCTCTTAAAAGCTTAATGGGTTATTATAAGTCTTATAAATATTTTATATGTTCAAATTTAGTGTAACCATAAGTAGTGGTTATTCAGTGTTCCCAAAAAAATGGGACTAATTCTAAAAACCATATCATATTGTCTTTCATTTGTCTGGAAGGTTGGTATGATAATTTTTGTGGTTTAAATATAATTTTTTTAGGAGAAAAAGAATATCAAGGATATTTTGAGGAATTAATTTCAAATAAATTTATCCTTTTCATAAATTGAAATTTGTTGCTAGATTTAACTACAATGTATCTGGGGGACGATTTGTAAAATTTCGTACATTTTATAAACTTTTTGTGCCAAAATTTGCTCATTGGAGAAATGCTTTTATACTTTAATCATGAATTATTGATCACGTGATTATCTTCGTATATTTTTTAAAAATAAAAATCATCATAATATGAATATATTTTTTAATAATGACCATAATAACATCATGTTATGTCAGCAAACAAGTCTTTCTGTCTGTCTGTAACGCTTTCGTTTCCACACGATATCTCGAGAACCCTTTTTCTTTTGCAATGAAATTTAGCATAGCAACTCCCTATGGACTAAAGACCCGTATTGATTTTGAGGTCAAAAGGTCAAAGGTCAAGGTCATAAATAAGCAAATTCTGTTTACTGTTAAAACACTTTCGTTTCCACACATATCTCTAAAAAAACTTGAGCTTTCGCAATGAAATTTTACATAACAACTCCCTGTGGCCTTTGAAATCAAACCCCTATTGATTTTGAGGTCAAAAGGTCAAAGTTCAAGGTCGTAAATTTATACATTCTTTCTGTGTGTAACACTATCATTTCCGAGAAAAAATATTTCAAGAAGATATTTCTTATGCAATGTAATTTTATAAAAACTCCCTAGAACATCTCTCTGTATATCTCAAAGTGCCACTGCCCCGTTTGTTTTATTAGTATCGGCAAAGTGTCTCATTTACGTTTATTCTATTTGATTTTATTTGTTTTTCCAGCTGTGTACCTTATCATAATGCTGGCTATGGGAGTTATATCAGTTCTTCTGACAATATACGTTCTTAAGTGTCACCACAGCCCTGAAGAGAGACCTATTCCGAATTATCTCAGGAAATTTTGCTTTCTGGCAACTAAAATCGCATTCATTGACGCTTGCTGCAAGCAAAAGGTTTACTCCATTGACGAACCTGAGATTGAATCGAAAACCAAAGAGCTTCCAAAGTCCCATGTTGAAGAACCGGAGCTAACTTGGCCAGCAGTCACAAGGATTCTGGATAAATTCTTTTTTAGATTCTATGCTTTATTTTTATTTGTTGTTACATTTTGTGTGTTATTAACGCTTATTATTTATCATTACACAAAATAATAATCCTTTGTTACATAATTTTTTTGGAGGGATACGGATTTTTTCGTTTTATTATTTTAAACATTTAATGAAACTTTAACTGTGTCTTAAACTTATTTTTTTTAAATCGATAACTGCCAGTTTCGTGTGACACATAAGTCATGAGATAGTGAGAGAGAGAGAGGGAGAGAATTTGATTTTATAGCAGCCTTAACATTGAATTTAACATGTAGTATTATGGGTTTTTTTATTTTTATCTATGTGATGATCTCTTGCAGTAGAATATTTAATGCTTATTCTGGTTCGTTGAATATTAAAACGGGAATTTTAAATATTAAAATGAATCAAATTATATTCCTTCGGTCAAAACTGGGAAGCTTATGCATGATGAAAGTAATGTTTTCATTCAATAACTTTTTCACCGTCATGGACGGGATATTCTAATATGCCGAGATGGGAGAACCCGAAAATTATATTAAAACGTTTTTAAATATCAATCGTAAATAGAAATTATTCTTGCTTTAAAGGTCTTAACCTGAACCGTTGGCGATTCGATTAAAAAAAACTTCGTCTTTGAATGTAATCTACACAACAAATCAACGATCGCATTATGTACATACAAATAAGAGTAATCTCTCCTGACGTAAGAAAACTGCTTATTCTGACAATGAAAATGGAACTTTTCATATTTTTGTGATAAGGACACAACAAAATTACTTTGTTCAAACCAATGCTGATTCTTCCTAACCTCGGTGCATTCTAAGGTTGATAATAAAAAGATTAATATGCAGTTCCTTATTGACAACATATAGCCTCCTACAGTAATCTGTTGGTAGACTGATGGGAAGAGTTTTGCTCATTTATAAGCCATGATGTTTTTACATATCTCTTAACAATCCTTCCTTTCATTCATATATTGACTCGATTAATTAATCCAGTATTTTACATCTCGTTGTTTTGCCCTGAACTTCACTCTTGTTTTTATATGAAAAAAGTTCAGTGTTATGCATTTTATTATCTGAGCCAAATGTGTCTTAGTTAATAGGTGCAATGGATTTGCAATGACCAAGAACAGTAAAATTTATTTGTATTGCATAATTAGGAATTTCGGATTATGTGTGCAAATATATAGTAATTATTACCGTAAATCAGTACAAATGGAAATGATGCAATATGACTAATTAAATGTAGAATACACACCGAAATTATAGAATACAAATAGAAAATGTACACAATAGAATTAAAATACTAAAGAATAGACTACAAATAAAAGCATGAGGAAATTTTTATTAAAAATTGCATACCGAATTATGAAAAAGGCATAGTTCTCATATAGAAGAGATGAAATGCAACGTATGCCGTTATACTCCTATAACAATATCAACATCTGACAGTCAGTAAGGGAAACAACAAAAATACAGATACACGCATATTACAATGTGGTATATATATCAGCGTAATATATTGCACAGTCACTGCTAATGTAAACTGTTACTGGCATGAAACAATGAACAATCTATTTACATATGTACAATGTCAAAACATCGACAAGATATATTTACGTGTATTAGTAAGGAATACATAGAACCTGATAGGAAATCCGATGTGGTCTAGTGGTTAGGATTTCTGGTTTTCACCCAGACGGCCCGGGTTCGATTCCCGGCATCGGAAAACTTTTTTTTTTAACAGCATTACGTGTATTTACACGAGCGCCTTACACATGGTATACTTAAACACAGGAGGTGTATACATATACTTTGCTGTGATTATATCATATGTAAAAACATTTTGTGACGTCACATTTTGTTAATTCTGGTCAAGTAAATTTCTTCTCGTCCTGCACTCTGTCTAATAACACACCTAGGTATCAACTAACTTATAGGACAGCTACAGGTAACATTTAAATGAAAACAAGGGGCGAGACAGTGTAATAAACAGCAAATTCCAATAGGTAATCTGTAGGTATTCAACAAGATTCAACTTATTGGGGCCGTCTAATATTTGACATAATGGACATTTTTCGGCTTATAACCATAACTGAATATATGGGTGTATCACTTTCATGAAGGAGGTCGGAAGTTATAGCGAGCACAGCGAGGCGGCGCGAAGCGCCGCTCGCGTAGCTAGCTCAATAGACTTACGTGTACGAACGGAGGAAATTCGGGTTGAAATCTGCACATTGTTCCAAGAAATTTTTATCTCACCGCGTGAAAAAATTCCAAACTCCCAATAATCCTTTGCGGTGCATAGCAACATGGTGGCTAAAACATAAACAACTTACTTTACAAACAACGATTTAATGCAATCTCCATGCCACAAAACTATCGTTTGCGTTCCAAGTCAACAGAACTTTTTAACGTCATAGTTTCGTCATTAACGGCTGGGTAATAAACTTCCGATTCGGAATCTATCCCGACGCCTCTTTTTTTTTATTCTTTTCTTTTTTTTTTATTGAACTGAGGATAGGCAGTGCAAGTAAAAGCTTTGTAAAGGTTTTTGATAGTAAATAACTGCGCTCGCCCCAGCGGTCGTACCGTAGAACATATTACACTGTACCGATTGTTTTATTTTTTTCAATTAAAAGCTTTAACCTTGTAAATAACATTTTAATGCTTTGGTCATGGGGCTTTCCATTTTTATTTTTTAAGGGGTTGTCTTTGGGCCATAGGAAGTTTTGGTATAAAATTTCAGTACAAATGCTTAGAAGCTTCTCGAAAAATCGCACGGAAATGAAAGTGTTAAAACAAACAGAATTTATTACCTTGACCCTTTGACCTCAAGATCGATAGGCGTCTTTCTTAGGCAAAATGTCGATTCTTTATATGGGTGAGAACTTGAGATAAAAGAAATAATGGTGTGCACCACGTACGTTTCATTTTTGGACGTTTACTCACTATAAATGATAAGGACAAACTAATAACTAATAAAATTGTATGACAGAGGAGTTGACTTTACTTTTACCGTCGCCAACTCTCCATATTCGTATGTTGAGTATTTCAGTCTTATGTATGTATTGTTACCGATAAAGAAAATGTAAAGAGTTAAGATTTTATACTGTAAACTAAAGCATTATATAATTTATATTCGAGTAGTGTATCAGTCTTGTTATTGAATTTTGGACTTGCTGACACAAATGTTTGTAACAATAGCTGCATCTCCCTGGTCATTCCGTATTCACCAGTTACTGTTGCTAGCACCCTCACATTGCAGACCACTACTTCCTTTTCACTTGGATAATTTAAGAATAACCGTTGGATTTCACTGTTACTGGTACAAATGAATTCTATACACTTACGCCCATATTTTGAAAATAGGTTAGAAATAAAAGACTATTCATATTAAGTTCAATTTGAATAATCCATATTTTTCTTAGAAAATATTACTAGACTACTTAAAATCAGTTTTAAAAAGTTCTAAAATACCAAAAAGTTACTTGCCAACAAGGCCATGTTACATGTAAAGTAAAGTAAGTTCTCATTCCTTAAGATATTTTATTAACCTCTCAAGTTCAAATTCCAGTTTAATTGATGTTAAAACCTTCTTGAAGAAATACATGTATTTCATATATTAGAGAGGAAATCTGCATTTATTCTGTCTTTGAACCACTTTAAGGCAACTGAATCGTTCTTTGCTTCGAGATGTGGAGTTACCAATTTATCCACCGTTTTATAGTAATCTTTCAACCAAGATATCTGTCAAAGATACATGTAAGAACAGTGCATAAAACATGATATCACTTTTTACTGTTAAACAGGCCTAACTAGCACTCTTTATTACTTATTTTATATCTTACATCCCTGTGTAAATATGTTCATTAGCCAGGTTGTTTTTCAGTTATGAATTACGAATCGGAACCTACATTGCAATTATAGCCAATACAATGTAGTGAGAGAGAGAGAGAGTAATGCCATATTCTGATTAACTTTTCTGTTAATTTTCTAACAAACTTTAAAAACTTAACCTAACGATATTTAGATATATTGAGGATTAATTAAAAATAAATTTGAGTTCTTTTGCTAAAAACTCCATAAATTTAGTTTGTCAGTATTTGTTTATTCCATTTTGACGACGGTTACCTGTTCAGTTGATAATAATTCTGTTTTTATAAGATTGAACTCGTACGGTATTAGAACCAACTGTTCAAAAGCATAGCAATGTTTGCCACCATCTGCCTGAAATAAAATTATTTCTGCATAATTATCATAATGCATTAAATTAATATTTATGTTAAGATTACACGTGTAGAATCTGCTTGTAAAGTATATACAGGAAAGTAATTTACTTACTTTGGTGATAAACATTGTGTTCTCTAATCTCATTCCGAATTCTCCTTCACTATAAAAGCTTGGTTCTGAAAGATTTGTTTTTTTATTTTAAAAAACTCTTCATATCAGCAAACTCTATCCTCAAAGTACTCCAGTAAGGGGTTAAATACGCTTGTTTTATAAAAAAAAAACTTTTGTTAAATACGCGAAATTATTACTAGACATAATGTATACCGTTGGAAAATATCATGCCTTCCTCCAGCACGTAGTCTCGCCCATCAGGGGGTGACATCAGATCTTGTGACTTCTTACAAGTTTCTGAATTTTCATAAAATTATGTGAATCCTTCGTTGTCTGAGTAAAATCAAAAAGTTTAAGAAGAAATCGTTTTTTAAAAAAGCATTTCATTTTTCAATTCTTTCAAAACTTTCATTTGAAAAGGAACAATATTGATCTTTGTACTTTGCTTCAACTTACTACAATCAAATATATGTCTGTCCATCGGTACATTACTACTCCAGTCTTCAGAGATGTTTGAAATTGAGGCCGGTCCTGACATAAACAAAATTACACGAGATTATTTTGCATTGTTCTCTAAAAATAAGGCATGATTGGTCACTATATTTTGATTAAAAAGGAACATTTTATTTGTCATTTTACATACATGTATCTTACAATCAGAGCTCGTGAGTCTAACCCCCTTCTTGCCTGTTAAATTGTTTATATTTACATCGTCATACGTTGGTACATGTTCAGGTACATGTATCTCTTTATTTATGAAATAAAATATAAACTCTATAATTCTAAATTTGTATAATAACTGAATTACCTTCTATAATCGATCCGTACACTGCTATCATATGCCCTATTTCGTGTGGAAAATCTACGCCTACATCACGTAGGGGCTTTCGTACATCTGCTGTATCTAAATCTCGACCTACAATGTATATATCTGAAACTAAATACTAAAGTAGCCGCACTTTGCAAAAGTTTTGTCCCTTTTGCGGGATCAACCTAAAAGTCAAAGGGGAGTTCAACGATAATGACATTTCTCCTCTCAATGCTACCCAACATTTAGGCGTGCTCCGATAAATCCACTGTTTTTAATTTTTTTCTCTCTCGATATATCGGTAGCCCCAGTCTGGGACGATCAATTAACAAGATGCACAGAATTTATTTAGTCAGATGACAAAGTTACAAACCAGAAAACTACTGTATAAAGGCTACTGTGAGGGTTCAATGGGTTTTCCCCAAAGATGGCGGTCAAGGAACACAACTTTTGAAAAGTGTGGATTGAACTATTTGAGCTACGAGTTTATTTGAGCCTCTATCTTTCAACACTTTGATATATCGCTTATAATTTTGCTAGCTTTCACTAGGATATAATTCAAAATTACCTGTACTTCCTATGCTGAATTTCTTTTTCGCCAAGTTGATCTGTGTCATCAGTAAACGTGTGTAAATATCCTACAAAAATGTATTATATTGATTCTTCAGTATCGAGATAATAATCCTGAGGAATATTTGTCGATTTCGTGGGTCACCCTTTCCAACAAATTAACATCCCCACGAACGATTATATTGTTTTATGAACATATTGATTCATTTAATAGAGTTTGACCCACCCAACCCAAATACCCCAAGCATACAAACTAATTTTTGCTTACCCAACAATATTGACTCCGCACGAATTAAAATAAATCCGATGCTTAAAAGGCTCAGAAGATCTTAATAATTTACTGTATTTATATATAAACTAATACGTCTAAAGGATGTAGTCCTCTCTGCATTGACGACAAACAAATAAACAAATCTACTTGTAAATCTAAACATAAATTTAACCTTTTGTTTCTCTGTAGGAGTTCCAAAGACAAACGAGCGAGCTATGTCGGTGGTTCCATCCCTGTAGAAAAATAAACATATTTACACTACATCTGCCTAAAAAGTAAGGCATAAACATTTCATGCATTAACTTACAAATAGTGTGCACCGATATCAAAGAGGAAGACATCATTTTTTCCAATGATGTCATCAGTAACTTTTGGTCTCAATGCAGAGGTTGCTGAGCCTGTACCAATAAGAGATATTCCACTAGGACCTTTGTTGAACAGTTCATTCCTAAATAAAATTTAAAATTGCATCTAGATAAATTATGGCTGAAGACTTAACGTTTACTGACTTTATTGTGGGAGATAGTTATTTATAGAAAAAAGATTAAGTTTTCCTAATTTTCCAAATTTTATTACTTACTTTCTTAATTTCTTTGACTCAGCTTCAATATCGTTTATTTTCAAAACTTCTCCTTTGTTAATCTGTGACAGAAATTAGGGATTTCATAAAAAAATACTGTTGTAATGGGAAAAAAACATAAGAAAAATGAGATTATTTGACTAGCTATTCGATCTTACCCTCTCATCTAGTCCAGCGAAGTAAGTTATCAGAAAAACAGAATCTCGAAGCTGCAATATATTTTACAGGTCAAATTCCAAGAGAAAGGATATGTTTTTCTTTTGAACCAAATTATGTGTAAAATTATTTAAAAAAAAAAAAAAGACCATTAAATGTGCGTTTATATCCGATACAAAAATCATTTGTCAAGAAGAAAGTAACTTTTTTCTGTACTAAAAATATAATTTGATTTTTTACAACTAACAAGGTTATAATTTTCTTGAAGAACCATTTACCTACCGTGGAGGTCTTCATTGCTTCTATTTCAGCGCTATTTTTCACTGCTTTAAACATTAAAGGGGGTGTGTATTCTATTAAAAGTTTTTCCTTCAACAAAATAAAGAAAAAATAAATAAAAAAACTTTACAATGTCCGAAAAATAAAAATTTCAAGAATTAAGGAAAATTTAATTGCGATGGATTTACATAATATGTATTTTTAAAAATCCTACTTTTGGAATTTCCGTTATAAATGCTTGACTGCAGTCCCACGAGACCCATACTTTTCGAACATGTTCATCGCGTGACAAATTTCCAATAACATCTTTCAAGTTTTGTGGACTGTATTCTTTGACTTCTATACAATATCCTTTTTCAATCAAGTTTTCGTCTTTTTTATCACAGGTTTCCATGCTGTCGTCTCTGTATATATTGATGTCCTGATAACAGTTTCGTTTCAGACATTCACCAGACTTAGATGAATTGAGGAACTCGAAGAGTTTTATATCTACAGTTTCAAGATTTTCAGTTAGCTTCTTCTCGGCTTCCACCATGTAAAGGCTACACAAGTTAAAAGAGGTGAATTTTATATAAATATGTACCACGATTTCCCCAAAACATTCACATATTTGAAAAGAGAATATACTTAACAAATGATTTTATAAAATTTTTATATCATTATCATTTATTTGGCTGATTCAAACTCAATAGATTTTGAAAAAGATTTACCTTATAATCCCAGTTCTGGCACTGATTATACAAAACGATATGAAATATGGATCATATGCAAAATCCCTTGCTCTTAAGTTAAAAAGCCCTATGAGAAAAATAAGCTTAATAACGGTATTTTTTAGAATAAGATTTTAGAAGAAAAATATGAAAATTATTTTTAACAATAATGCTAATAAATAAGTTATCATTACATGCTATTTCACCCAAATTAGTCAAAACTAAGATGTCAGCATTCTTTTCCTTCATGATATGTAATGTTCGTTCTATTTTGCTTTGCCATGTTTCGCCTGCAAAAGACACGTTTAAATAAGAAAATTATGCAGTATTGGTTAAAACCCATTCAATTTCATTTGAAAAATTCAAACGACCGATTGACAAATGTAAAATAATTAAGGAGTTGTGGAAGGATAGAAATGATTATCTTTACATTTTGACAGTTTTGATCTTATCTAATTTTACTACAAGAAGAATGCGACCTTAATTTGTGCGAAAAGCCATGTGAGCTTAAAAAGTGCGCAGAGCCGTATATCTATACATGTATCATATTTTAAAATAATACCTAGTTTGGTACACACACTCATAAATATTAATTTTATCGTTCAAAACAAGCATGTATGTATTGTATCTGTTTCCACTCTCGACTATATTGTGGATGAACACAGTGCACTGACGCTGAATTTAATTTACGATTGACGGAGGATTCTTCTAATAACGCGTAAACAAAAAAATTGCATATCAGAAATTTGTAATCAAAAAGAATGCATGGTATATTTTATACAGAACCTGAAATCTGTGGTGGAAGGATGTGAATTGGTGAAGTTGGTAATGGGGGTCTGTCCTCCGTCCATACCAAATCAATAAGGTCCGTATACATAGGAACAAAGGTTGTGTTTTTCACTTCAAAAATCTTCTGAAAATTGTTCCACCAAACTAAACATCAAATTTTTTTTTTTTAGATATCAAGACTTAATCCAAAGTGTATATAAGCACATGAAAACTTAGAGTAACTTTTTTCGACTTACCAGCGCTAAAAAGGTACGGAGAAGCTCCAACAGAGATAGGGTTTTCTACATGTTCATAGATCCAGTCAACTAGAGACGTCGTTTCTTTACCGCCTATAGTGAGAATTACACTGGATTGTGATATTCCAGCTTTTTATTTTTTTTTACCAGCATACTTTTCATAAATTTTACAGATTTAATGAAAGATTGGAGTCAACTGAAACCTTTTTAAGGACTTAGTACATTTTGCTACGTACAAATTCAAAGACAAATTTTGATGACTTCAAAAGTAGAAATAAAGTCTTGTTTTAAGTCTTAAAACATTCATCATAACTATTCCATATTTTAAGTCTCCAGAAATTGTTTCTTATTTCCCGCTTTCTCAGAAAGTGGGTTATTAATATTGGTCTGTTCGACCGCCCGTCTGTCCGTCTATCTTTATTTCTGTCTATCTGTAAAATTTTCGTTTCGTTCAAGAAACTTTTGAGCTTTTACTGTATATCCTTTAAACAAAGACTTTAATATTATAGGTGAAAACTCTCTTTGATGTTTTTGAAATATTTTAGGATGAAATGTGCAAATAATCTAAATTTTGACCTTTTCTGAAGACTGACCAACCACAGGTAACGTCATCAATGGCTGTCTGGAACGTTCTGCCGTCTGTCCATAACGCCGCGCTATCAAGAGTCACCACTGCAGTACCTTCAGATAAATACGGGTTACGGGTTACATTCTGTTTATATTTACATGTATTGTCTATAAAAATGTTTTAAATGAATGTCATTATTCACATAAAAATGTACCTATTAACCCTGAAAATCCAGACAATGCCTCTAGTCTTCTGTCATGGGATGTTAATTTACCCTACCAATGATATTTACTCTTAAGTATAAAGATGTAGCAAAATATCACAAAAAGAAAAAAATTCTCTCAGGCAAGTTCATCAAAATTTATTCAAGTATTTAATATTACATTCAGGACTTTTGCAAATGCAATACAATTAACTTTACATTAGCGGTATATGGTTTTGTGGGGCTGATACGAATATATCACTCAATTACTTTTCTGCTTTTTTTCGCTTCAGATTTTTTAAAAGTCGTATTTTGGCAGACGATAATGAACTAAACCCCCCCCCCCAAATTTCTAAACTAAAAGAAATTGAAGTACTTGATTTGATAGCAGTTTGAGTGAACTAGGATGCTTATACGGTTAAAACAATACTGATGTGTGTGAAGACTCTGAAAACATTACGTTTGCTTTATCAGATTCACTACCTTCAGCATTAAGCGTAGATGAAAACGTTGAGCCAGCGCACAGTGATCGACTCACGGGATGAAGATAAAACTGTGGGTAAGTCTACTTTTGACTTTGTTAAGGAACTCACAATTGTGAACAAAACGAGAAAACTGATTCAGATTGAGGGAGATTTTTCATGAATACAAAGAAAACAGACGGAGAGGAATCGAATATATGAACCTGACATGCTAAAATCATTTCAAGGAAGTGTCAATCGTTATTTTACAGACAGGAGTCTTTTAAAAATTAACATGATAAATAACAAAGAATTTAACATTCTCGCAACGTCCTCACTTCAGAGAGAAAGCTGTTTTTTTTTTAACAGATGGTCAAAGGGAACCGTGAGAAAAGGACAGACTCCCTTACATGTATATCAAGAAATTGATATGATATTTCTGTACAAAAAGAATCTTCTGGGAATACGTGTTATGATTTAATACTAATAATGTTCAGTACCAACACTTCTTTAAACTCACAATTTAAACATTAAAATATCAATAAGCAACAACGGCAAAATAATCTCTTTATTTTATACATGGCTTAATTATATATACATGTAATTATGTTTCCGTATTTTTATCCAACTGCAATGCAATATTGCCACTTTTATAAGATTTTTTCAGATACGGAATATCATGTACATATATGTGTGAATTTTCTGTCTTAATAATTCATTTTCAGATTTTTTGCAGGAGATCCCAGATCTTTGATGAATGTACTGTATCTTAATAATACAATGTATTTCGAAATGCAAAACAAATCTTTACTTTGTTTATCAAAATTGTGTGATGCATTTGTTTTTCTTGATTTGAATTTATATATACATGTATGTTCATATTATGACAAATTAGTCAATGATTATTTAATCGTATTTGTTCAATTAGAAGTGTCCTGTATGTTATCGCTAAGTATGTAATAAACATAACAAAACATGCTTTTTTCATATCACACCCCGTTTCAGCCCTCGACCAATATCAGGCCTCAGGCCCTCGGTTCTTTGGCTGTCTCAGGCCAATACATGGTGTGATATGGAAAAGGGTGTGTATTGTTGATTATACATATATCATTTTAAGCATACCATGGATTTTTCGATCATTTCTTATATCTTTTTAATTAAATAAATATACATGTATAAACAATTAACTTCGAAATACCGGGGTATAAAGCTTATAAATAATTTTTTTCTGTAAAGTTAAGAAAACATCATACATTTGTAGATCGGAAAAAAGGGAATTCTAAGCAGTATAAATAAGCAATATTCCCTTACCAGATTTTCATTCACATTGCATACTATATAGGCATTAATGTGATTTTCTTGCATGAGTTTTCTTAGATCATTTAGACGTGTCGATTTGACCTGAAAGAAAACTTGAAATCTGAAGAAAATAAATGCAAGCTTTTTTTAAATAATGTATAATTTGCTACTTTCATCAATATACTGCATTTGAGTCCAACAAATAAAACCTATTCTGGTAAGTGGTTATAATGAAGTCCTGCACCCGTAAGTCAGATATTTTGCAAATCTGATAGAGAGGTACAATGAAGCGCATTGAAGTGGTAAAATTTTCCTTTTGGATGGAATGTTCTGAGTCATGTTTTGAACGTCAATTACTACATAATGACACGCCTATATTTTTAGAAACGAGAAAGAAATATTCGTCGTAATGTTTTAGGGCACCCCATTCTTCGGCGACAAGCAATATGAGTTACACTGAAATGGAGATTTAAAAACATTGGAAGAGAGAGAGTTAGAGACTCTCCGCTTCTGTAAAACACAAATTGCAATTGTAACGAACTTATCATGTCTGTTGAAGTTACCACAACACATGTTGCAGTCGAACACGTGTTTACTCGGTATTTATTTAAACCGTCAATTTCATTGGCTATTATATTTAAAAAACCTGTGTTTGAAAGCAAATTTTTTATTTTCTAATGATGTCATATTTAACATAAACATTTATTAGCTAATTTACATCCACGGAAAATTTTACCCTTCAATGCGCTTCATTGTAAATAGAAAATGCATTTTCAAACAGAAATCACCTGGCTCACCCTGTGGGCTAATGAGCGAAAAAAAAAACTATTTAAGAAGAGTGATAAAATTTCATCATATAGTCAGGCTCATCAAGTGTAGATTTTCCGTTTGATATTTCCAAAATTTGATTTGTATTTATTATATTCTCCCTCACTTCGTCCGAATATAAATTAATTAAGAGCTTAATAATCAGCAAACACATGTATCGTAAACATGCTGCTCTAGCTAGCTCTTTATTTTCAAAATACAAATATTCTCAAGATCCAGAAATAATATATATAAACGTCAATTCCGAATTATCTACAGAAGATTCCATATGTGTACCGTCCGATTTTTCCACAAAATATTCTTAATATAGAGTGTACCTTACTTGATATTCAAAGTCTAGCGCAGATAAGGTTTTTATACCAACAAATCACGTGACCCTTTTCAAACACGATGTCATTAAATACCTTGTTAGTGTGACACTGAACCTTATGAACTTATAGCAAAGGAAGAGAAAAGTCTTTCAGCTGGGATTTGAAACTCTTTAGAATAATGATCGTTGAAAAGTCTCTTTACATTAGTTACTTGTGTGCCAAAAAAATACACAAAACTGTAGGATATAATTTTGAAACACTTTTACTATTTCTGGGTTTTTAGTAACCACGGCAACACCGTTGTTAAAATTCATACACAGAATTATGTATCAGTGTATTCTACTTATGTGCCAAGTTATATTGAAATCAGACCAAAACTTTTTTTGAAACAATTTTATATGTTATTTTTTACCACGGCAACACCGTTCATCGAAATCAAAAACCGATAAACAAAATTATGTATTTGGATTTTCTTGTGTGCCAAGTTATATGAAATCACAAAACTGTAGGAGATCAACTAATGAATTTCACAAAATTTCACATTTTTAGTAACCACGGCAACACCGTTCATCAAAATCAAAAACCGATAAACAGAATTATGTATCTTTTCATTCTACTTGTTTGCCAGTAATACTGAAATCACAAAACTGTAGGAATAAATTTTGACAGAATTTCACAGAAATTTCTTTTTTAGTTTGGCAACACCGTTCATCAAAATCAAAAACCGATGAATTATGGTCTACATAAATTGTGTGCCAAGTGTGTGAAATCAAACCAAAACTGTAGGAGTGAAGCATTTTGAAAAATTTCACAGAAATTTCTATTTTTACACGGCAAACATAAAATCAAAATTGTACACAGAATTATGCATTTATGTAGTCTATTGTGTGATTTTATGTACTCAAAACTGTAGGATGAAGCGTTTTGAAGAATTTCACAGAAATTTCTTTTTTAAACTGGTTCATCGAAATCAAAAACCGATATACAGAATTTGTATCCGTGTTTCAATTGTGTGCCAAGTTATACTGAAATCAGACCAAAACTGTAGGAGGAGTAGCGTTTTGAAAGAATTTCACAGAAATTTCTATTTTTAGTAACCACGGCAACACCGTTCATCGAAATCAAAAACCGATATAAAGAATTATGTATCTAAGTGTACTTCTTGTGTGCCAAGTTATACTGAAATCAGACCAAAACTGTAGGAGGAGTAGCGTTTTGAAAGAATTTCACAGAAATTTCTATTTTTAGTAACCATGGCAACACCGTTCATCAAAATCAAAAACCAATACACAGAATTATGTATCTTAGTGTAGTCTACTTTTGTGCTAAATTAATCAAACAAAACTGTAAAGAGTAGCATTTTAAAAATTGTTTAAAAATACATATATGTTTATATGTTTTAATGTGATTTTATTGATATCTATGTTACCGTCTGATGTAGGCCGGTAACAAGGTCGAATTTTTTTCAAAAAAGTGTTTGAAAGTTTTTTTTGAATGATATCTATTTAAAATATACATTTATTAGCTAATTTACATCACGATCCCTGTTCATTTGGATTTTCTTATTACAATATTGTTACATTTTTGGGGTCCAGGATTAAATAATGTTTTCCAAATTTACACAATTTTTATGAGTGTTTTCTTTACAAAGTGATAAGCTTTTATGTATTTGCCTGCTTTAGTATTTATACTTTATAATAAATGACAAAGTGTACAAACGTAAACTTTTTGTTTGACATTTGACTTTATTTCATGGATCACCTGTGATATGGTTTTTGAATACACTTTTTAAATGTTATTAAATACCTTGTGTGTGACAAAAAACCTAGCTTCAGTGAACTTGTAAAATTAGTTAAATTACACTGGAGAACATAAATATAATTACATTCATAGCACACAAGAAAAAAAAGATTATCCTAGGACTTCATAGGAAAGGAAACTCATGATCTTCAAAAAAAGTGTTACAACTACAGTGTTACAACTACATTGTTACTTAGAAGAAATTACACCCTACATATAAAACGAAAAATGTTAACGAAAGGATAGAAATCTTTGACAAGAAAATCACCCATACAACTCAATCACGTGTTGATAAGAGCAAACATTATGATATACCAGTACATGTTATCAAATATTTGCAACGGGTGAAGATTGTAAGGTAAACGGAAGAAAACTGTTTACAAAATGTAAGCAAAGCTCTTACCTGAACCACATTTTATACATTTCACAGAATGCTGAAGAATTAGTAAAAATAATGTGAAGTAGGTGAACATTTTGGCTGATCTACGTATAATTTCGTAATGCCGACATTAAAGTGTAGAAGTGGATCTTCTTTTTATCTTTCGAGGTGTATACTTAACCCTGAATGCACTATAGCTGTTTTTCAAGTGAAGGGAAACCACTTGTGTCTTCATGTGAGAATATCCAGTAAAACGCTAGTCAGTAACTCGTACAGATACATTTGACAGGGTTTAACAAGTGGGAAATGTTTATTTCAAAATCACTTCTATGGAACCGGAAAAGATATTTAGAAAGGAGGATAAACAAATAAATTTCCTCCAATTCATAAAAAAAGTTAAAATTAATATTGCAACAATACAGTCCACAGTAGCATTTTCCATATCCCTGGGGTTCTAGGTTTTTTCTTCATTTATTAAAACTAAATTCTATTTTTTTAAATTCTTTTTCTTAACACGTGTAATTTTAGTATTTGATTATAAAACCTCAACTATATTTTTTTGGTTATAATTTTTGCTTGTCAGATTAAAAATGAATACAAATTAAATCCATGTTTAGGAATCTTCCTGATCACCTACGAAAGAAAACTGTTATTGTAAAATAAATTGATTTGTCAAGTTTAAAAAAATTGAAATGTTTAGTCCTTTAAATGTGTACATGTAATGACCACCTAGATAGGAATGAGAATGAAAACTGTTATTGTAATATATAAACTTTATAAAGAATAAGCAAATTCCAATAATTGTGGCCCCAAATTTCGTAGTGGATCGGAGTCATTATTTTTGGAGTGGCAAGTGAGTCTCTTCTATGGTCGCAAAGTAAGGAGTTAATCCTTACGTCGTGGGTTCGAATCCTACTGTGGGACGTGAAGTCCGGTCCTTCGGATGAGACCGTATAAAACGGGGTCCCGTGTCGCAGTACATGTAAGTGCTGGCATGAAAAAGATACCGCTCGAGTCTTGGACAAAATTTGCAGCTCTCCACCTGCAAGTGATAGCGTCTCAATACGTCATCTGGAGTGAAAAATACTCGAGAGGGACGTTAAACAACATAAAATCAATTATTTTTTATGGCAAATAATGTCAAAAATGAACGCCCTATCATATGACATTCAAAATTAATTATCAAAATTAAAAGTAAAAACGGCATAAAATGCATGGAAAAATCTTGTCACAGGTCACATGCACATGTCAAATAATAGAAGCCCCATTCTTTTCAATCAAAAGTTGTAAGGAAAGATAACATTTTTGAAAACAAGGTTAAACTTTAAGGTCAAGGTCACAGACTAAAAAGTCAATAAACTATTAAGAAGGTCTTGTCACATATAATATAAAAGCACTGCCTTTTCTCAATTTAAAGTAATTTTACAATTTTTGAGTAGGTCATGGTCACAGGGTCAATCATCATAATGGTATAATTACCGGTAGGCAGATCTTGACACAAGTAACGTAACGTAGTTGTGAAATGTAGAAGCCCTATCTTCTCATTAAAAGTAATGACCAAGTTTAAAGTTTTTGACAGACGGATTTACAGAGGAATAAACATTGTACCCTTGCTTTCTCGAAAGCGGGGGACAAACAGAAAGTTATCAAGACCTGTCGTTTTTCAAAAGATTTTTTAAATCTTGTGTTATAGCATGTACAAGCATTTGCCTATGGTGTATATAATTTAAAAATATTGTAAACGAAAAACATTTTTTATCTTAAAATTAAATCCACTGTTTTTACTGATACAATTGTATGAGCTTCATAAAGAATAGCATAGGAACTGTTTCGCAATACGAAATAATCACACGATGATTGTGTTCAAATACACGTACATACACGGAGCAGAATTCCTTCCGTTCTGTGAGCTGTTTTTTTTTTTCGTCTTATTTTTTCAATTACAAGAGGCATGTTTTTATTAAACCATTGTTCCTATTTATACTGACACAAAGGATGTCCTACATTTTAAAAGTCCCCTGGACGAAAAGCAGGCTTTGCAGGTATACGACCCCCCTCCCACACTGTGACACACACACACACACATACACACTCAACCACAGCAATAGACACCTCCTTACTAAATAAATAATTTAAAAATAATTAACGATAATTAAACCACATATTTTAAAACACTGATTAACTATGTTACACTTTAGTCTTTATCTATAAGATTCCTTCACAGATTTAAAAGTTTGTTGAATTTTTGCCATTTTCAATTCAAACAAACAAAAAAAAAAAAAAAAAAAAAAAGGATGTTTCCATTGTCCAAACACGAAACTCCTATTTCGTGGAGGGAGGGGGGGGGGGGGGGAGGTTCGAACTTCAGTACCAGTTTTTTATCCAAACAGCACCACTTTCCCAATTTTAAACCTATACTGCAGCGTGTCTGTGGAAAGTGGGGGGAGGGGGGCTAAACCTACGCAGCAATGTTCAATGTCTGTACTAAAGTCTATCTTTGGAAAAAAAAAAAGTGAGGCCCCCTACCACCCCGGTTCCAACGCCTATGCGAGAAGGGCAGAAGTGAATAAGAAATGGCCCAGGTAAAGCTAAGCAGAATACTAGTATTTTTTCAGATGTATACAGTATCGACGCTTATTACATAATCAATTTTGATGATATTCACGCTTACATGATAAATGCTTCGATTTTTAATTGTAGTCACTGAGTCTGGCACTGCCTTGGAGAAGCGGTAGACTGGTACCCTGACATTGGTTAACGGGCGCAAGCGCCCCGAATAACCACTGCCCTTTTATCGTGTCACAGGAAACAGCACTGATGAAAAAATCTATATTTAGACTAGCGTAAATCCAGAATAAACCCTTCTCTCTGCACTGCTGTAAACGAAGAAAGTAGACGGATTTTAAGCATCTAAAACTGTCAAGAAGTGCTGCCTGAAAAACCTTTAAATGTAAAGCGATATCATAGGTCCCATCTGCGGGTGCACGATGTTTCGGAACCTGACTAATACGACGTTTCGGGACTAGCGACAAGACGGTTCGGGACTTCGGTTATTTTTTTCGGGATCTCAACAAATTATTTTATTATGATGATAAACCATATTATTCTAAGTACACATGGTACGTAATATTTAATTTTATGTATATATATAATAAAAATTATCATAAAGATATACTTTGGTGGGTTTTTTTTCATAACAGACGAATAAGAATAAATCTTTACAATATTCGTTTTTATTTCTTATCAATTTTTTTTAATTAGTTATTTTTTCTTGTGTGTGTGATGATGGGGTCCAAAATTTAATCTTCTCAGGTTGATGATATATATTTTGTTTGTGATTTTGTTCCCATTTCGCGTAAGAAAAAGTTAAAAAGTACTAAGGCGAAATGGGAATTTTAGTATTTGTGAACATTATCACTGGGTTGATATAAAAATTGAAATGATAATAATTTTTAGATTGAATTTACCAGCTAACGGGAATTTATGTATACAGTGAATAAAATAATACATGTAATACCAAGTAATATCGTTTGTTTATTGGTAAATGAGATAATTCAAAATCAAACAATATTTATATAATAATAATAATAATAATAATTTTCCCATCATCAAAAAGTTCAAAAAATATAAAGGTTTTCAAAATGTTTTTATCTTGATTTTGTCTATTTTCCCCAAACGGTTTCAAATATTTTTTTTTCATAAAGTTTTAGCATAGTATTGTAAGATTCTTCTCTGGAAATGTTACAAAAACATTTTTAAAGTTTCCAAAACATTGTAAATAAACATATTTTACAAATGTTGCGAGAACATTTTCCATATATTTAAAAAAATACCATACTTTAAAAAAAACATTAAATGGTATAAACAACATGATTTCATTTGATATCGCTTCAAATAATACGTAAAACGTAAAGTTTTTACTGCACATGTGCTAGCTTGAGCCTTTGTAAATCATGTAAACAAAAATTATGAAATCAAACATCTAAAATTATTATTAAAAAAGAGAGAAAGAAAGTCTTAGAAAGAAAAACACGTCCGTGGTCTTCACACAGCAGTAACGATTGTCTCCCGGCTTTAAATCTACAAACTCTCGTATCAAACACTATAAATTAATCAAATACATAATTCTGAAAAATAATTTTTGAATTAAGTTTTGGTCAAATGTTAACTAAATACTTTATAAAGGTAATATATCATGTATATCAAATACTGTAATAATTATAAGAAATTAAAAGAGACAACACCGCGGGCGTTTGATCTTCTCGGCAGGCGTGCTCCTTGCCGCATGCAAACTTTAAAACTAACAAAACCTCCAATCTGTGCTTCTTAAATTATAAATTGTGTATCAAACTGCGAAATTATACATGTATAAACATAAACACACAAGTAAACATCCTTAACAAAATATATAGAAGTCCAGAAACGTGTTAACCCAAGTCCCGAAATGTGTTGTCAGGTCCCGAAACATCGCGGTCCCGAATCATCCATAATTCTCATATGACAAGTTATATTGAAATCAGACTGTAGAACTGTAGAAGACGTAGCATTTTGAAAGAATTTCAAAGAAATTTCTATTTTTAGTAACAACGGCAACACCATTCATCCAAATCAAAAAACCGATACACAGAATTATGTACCATAGTGCAGTCTACTTGTGTGCCAAATTATATTGAAATCAGACCAAAACTGTAGGAGGAGTAGCATTTTGAACGAATTTCACAGAAATTTCTATTTTTAGTAACAACGACAACACCGTTCATCCAAATCAAAATCCGATACACAGAATTACGAACCTTAGTGTAGTCTACTTGTGTGCCAAGTTACATTGAAATCAGACCAAAATTGTAGGAGGAGTAGCATTTTGAAAGAATTTCACAGAAATTTCTAATCACTGTATTTTGTAATCACGGCAACACCATTCATCCAAATCAAAAACTGAAGTTATATAGAAATCAGACCAAAACTAGGAGACGTAGCATTTTGAAAGAATTTCAAAGAAATTTCTGTTTGTAGTAACCACGAGAACACCGTTCAT